TTTTCACCAATTTATCGAATTTTTCCCACTTAATTCCTACACCTTAAACTCTCATGATGCATCATATAAAGTTTTTCCCAATGACCCCTATAAACCTACCAGGCCGAGGCAAGAGGGAGGTGCCATAGGATTTCTTTTATTTTATTTTAATTTATTTTTAACACAGTAAAATGCTTAACTTACATTACTATATCCAAGACATCAAAGGTTCATCATAATTTCAAATTTTAAAACACTATATTTTCCTACCAAAACATACTCCTAATTTTAATAGCCTACTCATCAAAATACAATCATAGAAATATTATTACCTCCAAAAGCTTATACAAGGTCAAGGAGATAACCTTCAAACAAGTCTCCACCAAAAACTTTCTTTTTTTCACCTTGGATGAATAGTGCACAAAAATGAGATGACAAATATCTCCCTCCACAAACGAAATCAGCTCAAATGGAGGGGTGGAATAGCTTCCTTGGATGATTTCCTATGAGGTTGGTATAATGGGTGGAAGATTTGGTTGTATATTGGAGGAGAAATCAAAGAAACAAGAACCAAAACCCTAGTCCCCTTTCCATTGCTGCAGCTCGGCCCCAAGGAGAGAGAAGAGAGTGTTTTGCTTTGAGTGAATAGTGATCACTTAAGTCACTTATGTTTTATAAGCACATGTGGCTTTTAACCGGATATTTTTCTTTCGCGTATTTTCACTTACTTTGACCCGAGACTAACTTAAAGCGACAAACATATTTTTATTTTTCTAAACTCATTTACATAAATTTTTATTTCCTAAGGAACAATATTCTTAATTTACAGTATGGTTTCTGCACCGTTTTTGACGAAATGCACTGTGAACCACTAACTGTACTTCGTTTACTTCTGAACTTAAAACTTATTAACTTATCATTTCCTTTGGGCCCATATTGACTTGTTTGGCATATATTGGAATTTATTATTCTTATTTCATCAATTATTTGCTTCTGGACTCTACCGGTTGCTTAAACAGCAGTACAAAATACCCGGTAGAAACACTATTCACGAGATTTTCACGGAAAGTGCAGACTATACAATTTTTCGTTTTGAACTCATATTTGTCGTCAGAATTGTCAAATTATGTTTCTAAAATCATTTTGCTCATTTAAGCTCTACCGGTTAATTCACAAAACTGTAAATTCTCCGGCAGAACGCATTGTTCATAACATAGTCATGATTACAGTCAAAATACTCGAAATCGCTCACTGAATCTAATTATGGCATTTAAATCCTTAAATTAAATCTCTAACTAAGATTTACCAGTTAGGGTCATTATAAAGCAGCTCCAAATACTCAGGCTAAGATGGTGCATGAAAATGACACACAAGATGAGTTCTTACTTCACAAAGGTGACACTTTGAAGTTCAAAATGCCATCACCAAGGTTCCCACAACCCAACTCCCAAACTCAGCCCTCAAAACTGACTCACACAGTGGCAAGGACTCAGAATATGCACCCTCACCCTCTCACAATGATAGCTCTAAGTGTATACAAGCTCAAAGGTGAAGAACTCAAGCAAAGGTGACAACTTGACCAAGAAAATGGTGAAGGGAGATAGTAGAACCAAGCACCAGTTGACCAGCCCCTCAAGAGTCACGTAGGATAGTGTATGGCCTAGGGTTTAGTGTCAAACTAATGTATATATAGTCACTTAATAATTAAACACACAGTATTAACTTTAATTGCTACGCTTAGCATTTTAATCCCAAACTCAGGATTCTGAACCTACTCAATTTTACAAGATTTATCATATTTTTATTATATTTTTCGCAGCACATTTCCGGTACGCGCTTTTCCATAGCCAATATCAGTTCTGGCACCAGTTCTCATTATTTTCACTTGAAACTCATTTTACAATTCCTATATATTATTCTAGGAATATTCATGCACTTATTATAATTTTCCGGGATACTTTTTCGATACGCATTTATACCGACTAGCCGAACCGGTATCTGCACTTTTCATCAGAAAAACGACTTTCAGCATTATTACTCACTTACTATAATTATTAGAGCCTCATAATAATTATTAGGGTCAATTATGGAATTGTTTTATAATTCCACATAATTAATTAATTAATTTTCTTAATTAACGGTGCGGGTTCTTACATTAACACTCATTCAAAGGTGAAGAATTTTATTTCTAAGCTTTATCAAGAGGGTTTAACGTCTTCAAAAATCTCAAAGGTGGTGGGTGAACGCTATGAATAAAGAAATTAATATTACCCCAGTTCAAATTAGCAATGTTATATGAGGCTAGAAAAAGAATAATATGTAGGGCGAGAATGTCAAGGCATCATCAAACACTTTCAAAGGAAGTCTGTTCTTGATGGATCTTTTTATTTTGATATGCATTCGAAAAAATATGGTACATTAAGAAGCATCTTTTGGGCTGATGGTAGGTCAAGAGTTGCGTATATTCAATTTGGCGAAGTCCTTGTGTTTGATGCGACTTACAAAACAAACAAGTTCAAGTTTCCTTTTGCCCCTTTTGTGGGAGTTAATCGCCGTGGGCAGTCAATTTTATTTGTTTCATCTTTGTTAGAAGATGAAACAGGGGCAATATTTACTTGGTTGTTTGTTTGAACAGTTTTGAACATGTATGTTTGATAAGTCTCTTGTTGCTATTATCACTAATCAAGACAAAGCTATAGGAAAAAGAAATTGTCGAGATATTTCGAGGAGCACGACATCGTTTTTACGCATGGCACATAAAAAAAATGTTACGGAGCATAGTCAAGTACTACTTACATAATTTAAAGATAGTTTTGATGTTGACTTTCACGAGTGATATAAAAGTCGAAACATCTATGAGTTTGAAGGCAAGTGAGAAGAATTGAGGATTAAATATAATATTGAAGCAAGTAGTAAGTAGTTGGCTGCCTAACATGTATGCTTCAAGTCATCATTGGGCAAAAACACATTTGAAAGATATCTTTTTTGCTGGAATGACCACGAATGGCCGAAGTGAGAGAATTAATGCATTTTTTGATGGATACGTCAACTCTAATACAATATTAAATGACTTTGTTACCCAATATGATAAAGCAATCAAGTCTAGGAGGGATACAGAAGAAGATAAAGATTTTAAAACTAGAAATACAAAAGCAAATTTAGAGATTAATTATCCAATTCAATAGCTGGAAAACGTTACACAAGAAAATTGTTTGAGATCTTTAAAAGGGAGTGGAAGGCTACCTTACATGATTAGTTTCATGAAGAAAAAAATTAACAAATGAAAATCTTATCAAGTACAGAGTGGGGTCTCCCGAAGTTGATAAAAAATGGTGGGCAATTGTCAACTATCATTTGACAGAAACCTTCACAGCTGATTGTTTGTGTGCAAAATTTGAGACTATAGAGAGTTTTGTGCAGACATATTCTATACATCATGAAGAAGAAACAAATAATGACCTTTCTTGAAAAATATATTTTATCTAGATGGACAACGAATGCAAGCTATAAGGCTGAAAATGTTGTGGATGTTCATGTTGAAACAACTACTAATGAACTTAGTGCATTGTCTTTGTGGTTGGTTCATTCACTATGGTTGTTTCTGAAGCAAGATATTCTATTTATGAGATTAGAAGGATTGACACAATGATTGCTGAATTTCTACAACAACAATTTGAAAGAAAGAGAAAGAGACCTAAAGATGAACCAGTTCCTGAAATTGTTATTTCATCAATTTCAAATTCATTAATTTGTTGTTGCAAAAAATCTCTTCCGCAATGAAAGTAGAAATTGGGGACCCATAAACTTGATACTATATTCAATCAAAATCCTTTTTTTATGTTACTGGAAAAAAAATTATTTCATGCAAAAAAAATAACTATATACTACGGGTAATAGTAATACACAATTATAATATTAAAGTTGTTTTATTTTTCTCTCTCCTCGGATATTATCGGCTAACGTGACGAAAAGAGAAAAAATAATTTTATTATTATAACTATGTATTATTCTTAGTACATAATTATTTTTATTTTTTTTTGCATTAGATGAATTTTTTTCAGCAACATGAAAAAAATAGAACTCATATTCAATTTATGTGTTACATATCGTGTTTTAATTAATTTTGTGTATTGCTTCAAAAGTATATAAAACTAAAATATATTTGGACTAAATTCACACAAATATTCTTCAGCCTTCACCGGCAACTACATATAATTAACGATGTGTTATGTTCTTTTCTATGGTTGGCCACCTCGCGCTTAGTTTAGTTGGTTTTATTCTGTGATGCCTTATAATGTTCCATGACAATGACTAAATTAGGTTATTGAGTGCTCTTGCTGTTTAGGTAAGTGCTTCGAATTGGCATCATGCTTCTATATGCACGAGTGTTTAATTAAGGACCAATTTTTCGTGAAGTTTGTTTGTTTGTTTTTTTTTTTTTTTTTTTGAGTAAAAGTTTAAGTAAAGTTAGATACCACTATCATGTTAAGTAAAAATTTAGTTTTAATTAGTACAAAAATGTTATACTATAATAATGCAAAAGGTCTTGAAAATATTAACTAGAATTTAAAAACCAAATCTTTGATGTATAATAGACGGTATTGAAAAGTGAGATGTTAGTTTCCCTACTACCAAAAGTGATGATGGACAAAGCAATAACATCTTTTTATGCTAAGCGAAATACTATAATAGAAAGGACAGTGTTTTTAGTCACCTATATAATTAAAGACGAATTAACACGGAAGAACATAATATGAAAAAATGGTAACAAAAAAAAAAAAAATCATGATAAATGAGTAATACTTGTAACTTCATATTTTTTAAATTTAACTGTATTATTATGTCAAAGTTTTGGTAAATTTGTTGAGTTTGTGACATTATTCCAATAATATAAGAGAGACGTTATATTTCTCTAAACCTATTAATTTTAGGAAATTAGTCACTATACCCATTTTTGTTAACTAAAGTATAACAAACAAGAAAAAAGGGGGGGAAAAAAAGATAATGAAAGAAACCGTTTGACACAAGCCCCATGATAATTTAGGATTAGTAGATGGTTTAGTACGTGTAGAAAGTCTTTTATGGAAAATAGTAATTTCCATAATATTACCTACAAATCTAAATCAAACAAGGCGTACATAAAGTTGGAACTAATTGGGTATGCTACAAAGGTGTGGTGGAGCGAGACCCTTTATGGCCATATTTCATTAGTCACAGAGCTCACAGCATCACTTATGACTCCATTGTTGAAATCACTGAATTCTGTCCACGTTTCCAAGTTTCCAAGCCCAAGAGATGAATTCTGTCCACCAAATGAGGCATCATTCCCAGGGACAGTGATGGTTGGCGAGACATGTGCCATGCATCGCTGATTACTCGTGTTGAGTTGTGGTTGAGTGCTCAATTGACTCTGATTCTGGAAAATTTGGTTGTTAAGGGTGCTGAAAGAGCCCCTAGTGACCATATCCTCGGCTAACTTCACCTAAAAATGCAGAGAGATCATAATACTTTGACAATTAATTGTTACAAATTTCATGAGACTCTTGATACAACGTTATTAATAATTGTTAGTATGTTTTTAATATTAAAAAGTTTATAGGATATGTGATATGAAATCTAGATATATAGTTCTTTAATTCTCTAATCAGTATTATATATCTTTCCATCACAAAAACACATTAAGGAAGAAGGGCTAAATAGATAAATCATCTTAGAGATGAAGGTTGTTACTGTCTCTCGCATCAATATAGGATGTGTTTACTATTTAGGAGAATTCACTATAAAATATTCGATTTTTAACGATCTAAAATAATATTTTTGATGTTAGAGCAAATCATACATCAAATACGTGACTTGTATATATTTATGGGAAATTGGAGGTAACCTAAGCGTAATTATTAACTGGGCTTGATGTTTTTTATGTTGTAGGAGATAAAATTATCTCCTATACACATAAAAATATGTAGGATCATACGAAGAGAAAAAAGAGAAAAAAAATATATAGATCCCACATACTTTTATGTGTGTGCATGTATGAGATAAAGATAAAAATTATTTCTTACAATAGAAGATATTAAATCCTTCTCTAAGTTAACCGGTTAGCTTGTCTTACTAGAAACTCTGTTCAGGGAGATTGTCCATTTGTAGGTTCCTTCATTTTATTCTTTTACAAAAATTTGTTACGTTTCTATATATGTTACCACTTACTAGGCGTCCATATAGGCCTTTGGGTGTAGATAATTTATAAGTTTAACTCTCTTCAACATGATCCTAATATACATATATATAGAAGTTAGAACAACCTTATACCTTAGCTCTCAAAGCTTCGACATCTGATTTTAACACTCTGTTATTCGTATCAGCATCACGAAATTGTTGGCTAGCATCTGTAAGCTGTTTGTATAGGGTTGCATTTTCCAGCCTCATCTGTTCAACCTGAGAAAGAACAATTCAAAATCTCATCACAATATTGGAAATGGAATTAATTAACTACACACACAAAAAAACCAATGAAAAAAGAAAATGATTACAATAGTATCATATCAAATATCTAAATGATTAAATTTCTTAAAAGAGAAGCACATAGATTTATATAAATTACTTACCTGCAACTCCAAGTCAGCCAAATGCGCTTGTTTTCTTCTTCTGGATCTCCTTGCAGACTCGCGATTAGAAACCTTCCTGAAATCATGATCATCACGTGAAGTTACAAAGAAGATGCATGGGAAGAAACAATCTATGAGATTATATTCTAATTAACTTCAAATACTTGAGATATACCTTCTAAGGCGCTTCATGTCACAAGGGTTTGTGCTCTGTTCACAATCCTCATCAGATGGCTCACGTGAGGAACCACTTGTAGTGGTTACTTTTCCTTGATTCTCTCTGCCATTTGGTTTATTGGCAGAAACCGGGCTCCCAACTACCCATTATTCAATGCAATCCAAAATGTTAAACTATATATAAACTAAGTGTTCTATGAGCTGTATATATTGCTTTTATGCGTAGAGTATCATAAGTAGGGTGTACATGATAATACTTTTGAAATATTTTTAAGGGAAATATAGCTTCTTGTTGCAGCATAAGCATAAGCTTCTCCTGCAATGAATTAACACTATGTACTGTTCGTAGTATATAGTTGTAATTATAAAAAAAAAAAAAAAAAAAATTCTCTCTCTTCAGGGATTGTTGACTGATGTAACAAAGAGAAAAAAATCAATTTTAATATTACAACTATGTAATATCAATAGTATATAGTGTTAATTGGTTGCTGGAGAAGTTTCTTCTCTTACAACATGAGAAGTTAGGGACCCTATTTTTAACATCGGAATAGAAACGGTTAAGAATAATGTTTAATAAAAGAGAAAAGGAAGTGTCCTTTTAAAGGATATAAACTTATATCATTTTAGCAATTTTTAATTATGCATTCCAGGGAATGCATAGTTATATTATTAAAGTTGTATTTTTTTCACTTTTCACATTAGCAAACAGCTTTTGAAGAGAGAAAAAAATACAACTTTAATATTATAACTATGCATTTCTGAAAAGAGGAGGATTATATTTATAAACTTTTTGCTTACAAACTCTTACAAACTACACTATGTTCTCTTGGGAGAACACTAAGTTACTATGTTCTAACATAGTGTAATTTACAAAAATTTATAATACATCTTCCTTCCAAAAATACATAGTTAAAAATACTAAAAGACGTCTCCTTTAAAAGGAAAGGACACTCAATGAACCCTTAATAAAATCACTTTTTTTAATAAAACAAAATCTTTGTCATGCATGCCCTTAATATTGCAATTGTGTGACATTGCAAAAGCTGTGTGCATGAATATTAGCATAGAGTATTACCAGTACCACAAATGGATGACTGAGTATCAATAGTTGGAGAAATGGGGGAATGCCTGGGAGTGAGGTTCTGCGAGCTGACGATGGTATTATCTGTTAGTTCACCACAAGTTGAAAATGCAGTCACCGCATCCTGCAATTACGAACGAATCCATAAGCTGGAATTTTTATTTTGTCCATCAATTTTTTTAAGTACGTGGTTCAAGTAGCTTCTTGACACACCGACTTTTTTCTTTTCCAATTAAATTCTTAGCAGATTCTTTTTATTTTGTTTTAAGGGCAAAAGGTACAAATCAAAGCATAGAAAAGATAGCTACATAGGTAAGTAGCAAAACAAAACACTCCACCACCCAAAAAGCCTTTACAATGGGTCCACTTGGATTGCGGGCAATAATATAATTAGGACGACTTTATAAAAAGTAATATATTACTATTATTATTATTATTTACAATCAGCTGGCAAAGCACTTAGTAGATATACAATTCGTGGGAGCGAAAAAATTAGCATGGCAGATTTCATGTATTTTATTTAACCAATTGAATAATCATGTTCACGAGTATATGAAAAAAAAAAAAAAAAAGATAAAGAAAAAAAGGCTTGAGAATTTATTTATAAAAAGTAAGACCCATATTGCTTTGTTCTATTCTTTTCTTATTTTTACGGATAGACGAAAAGCGGTTAGAATTTTCTTTAACTAAAATATTAAGTGAGTGAATCGAAGTTAAGTCATAGAGGAAAAATCTATAATTAAATCAGTTGTGTTATGCGCGTGGTTGTATGAAATAAAAAATTGGTAACATGATCAATGGAATTCATTGGATTGCTTCATATTTGTTTATTTTCTTTTGAATCTATGGTTGATGAAATATTTCAAGCAAATACAACCCCATTATAGTTTAACCCAATCATATTACAATCTGATGAAAACAATCATCATATTTCGCATTCATTGATCCACTCATTCAAACACAAAGTCGACATACATTTGACAAACTTTTCGTTAATCTTTTTCAAAATCATAAAATACTAATTATTAACTTTTTAATATGTAGAGATGAAAATGAAAATAATTCCATGTCTATTGTTCTTTGCTTCTCAAATAACGGGGTCCATAGCTGTGTAAAGAAAAAGTGTAGATTCTGAAGTGTACGTAGTGCGTTCGCGTTCCCACCAGTTCTGATTACAACCTAATAAATAATGAAGCAGTCCACGTCAGCACAAAACAACTCCTGCTGCTGACGTGGCCTCCACATTTCCTTCACCTTTTGGTTCAACCAAATTCCTCTCTATACCTAAAACACGCAAACTATAGCATCTGATTTTTTTTCTTCTTCTTCCGGTTATTAAATTTTGAGTACAAAAGTTGCACTCGATGAGATAAAAAAATTATTAAGGAAAAGAAGCTCTGTTATTTTCTTATGTACACAAATCAAAGTTGAAAGCCATAATTATTACAAATAAAGGAACAACAACATAGAGCATCTTATATATATTGGTTTTTATGTAGTTACTATCTATCAGTTATCTACAGTAAATTAATATGACGTTGTTCTGGGTGAAAATCATGGTGTTTTTATAATTTTAATTTATTTCAGGGTTATTATAATCTTTATAATTATAATTTTTTAATATTTCAATTTCAAAATGACGTCGTTTTGAAAATAAATGCAGATAACTTATCTGTATTACTTGCAAAAATATTTTTTTTGTATATATATATATAGAGGGAGGATATTCTCACTACCAAAAATTTTCACTACCAACTTACTACCTATCTAATCATCATTGGATCAAAGAGAGAGAATCTTAAAAAGTTTTTGAAGAGAGAGAAAATGCAAATCCAATGATGATTAGATAGGTAGTAAGTTGGTAGTGAAAAATTTTAATAGTAAGAATATCTCTTCTCATATATATATATATATATATATATATATATATATATATATATATATATAGAAAAGTATGATCAGAACTATTATTATATGGTTTATAATAAGATGAATGTATTTCTCATGTTGAATGAGATAAATTATTTCATGCAATACACAAAAAAATAGATAATTTATTTTTATTTTTTTTAATAAGTGTTATCTAATTTTTTATGTTGTTGTATGAAATAAGTTATGTCATATAATATGATAAACATATTTTCGTTATAATAACAATCATTCTGATCTTATATTTACATGATGCGTGACATATGGCGATAATCATGACCATTACATAATTAATATGAAATAATAATTAATAATTAATAATTAGTGTTATTTAATACTTTTAAGGAAGAGGTGTGTTGTAGTAAAGGTTGCAAGGTACTTTTCTGAGTGAAGAGCGTTTTCCTAAGTGCGAAGTGTGTGATAGTGAGAGAGCACTCACCAGGTTCGGGAAAGAAGCAACGGCGGCGCCGTTGAGTTGGCCGGAGCATGCGCCGCCGTTGATGAACGGATCCATCTTGCACGGTTTCACGTCGTCGTCGTTCGCCGATCCATTAGCTATTTCGACTTCTGTCACGCGCTTCATGAACTCCTCGTGATCGAACTCCGATGCGATCCACTTCAAGTCGTCGAAGCTGGAGAAAATCGACGGCGCCGCCAGAACGCCGCCCCATTTAGGTTCCATTTTCGCCGGAGAGGAGAAGGAGAGAGAAAAGGGAATGAGGCTAGGAGCTTAATGGGTATAAATAGGAAGAGCGAAAACATGAATTACGTGGGATGAATTAATTTTTTTTATTTTATTTTTAAAAAAAGAGAGAGTAAAATATAGAATTGGACGGCACATGATGTCAAAACGTAGCAGAATGAAATTACGAAACAGTCCTGAATCATCACGTGTAATTACTTGTTGAATCCGTGAGAACTGAGAAATGTTAATTAAATGATATGTAACTTACTTTTGATTAAAGAACAAAATGTTATGAAAGTTACGTGAAAAATATTTTATGTTTAAATAATGTTTTTCATATATAAGAACAATAGGAGTAGGACTATAAGAGTATCACTCATCAGTCATCAACCCTCATTCATTCACATTTTAAAATGCATGATTGGTGTATGAACGAATGATGGCATTTCCCACTGAGCTGATTGGGCTAATCATCACCAAAAGATACACAATTTTAATTAGTTGAAGAAATTCAACATTTTATGTAACCCACAGAGATATTTATTGTTTGGTATTGGTTGCTGAGCCTTAGGACCAAATTCCTAAAAGGAATGAATTTTTTAATTCAATATTACAATTTATGCTTATCTTGATTTGAGATATAAATGATCGAATGATTTTTTGATTATGTAAAGGTATATTAAATCATTTCAATTTTTTTTTAAAAAAATGGTAAAAGTAATTGGGACTTGGGAGCATGGTTATCAAAATCGCGAGTTAACTCGTAAAATCGTACGATTTTACGAGTTTACTTTGTTTGGCGAGTTAAATCGGTAGTAAAATCAAAATTCTGAGTAAACTCGTTAAAATCGCCATTTTACTGTGCAAAATCACAAACTCGTACGATTTGGGACGAGTTAGCGATTCATGGGCAGTGATGGCAAAACAAAAAAAAATTTGGACAAAAAATTGATTTGGCCCAAGAGGAAAACTTGGATTTAGAAACTCAAATTGAAGAAAACATTGTGGGAATCCAAAGTGGAGAAAACATGGTTGTAAACTTGGAAGTAGAAGAAATGGTTGAAGAACAAGTACAAGTTGCCGTGGGAGATGACGACGACGATGCTAACTTTGAGAATTTGATGAACTTTGTACTCTAAGCACTTAGTCTCTAAATTTTTTGTTATGAGTTTGTGTCTTTTTATTTATAATGTTAGTTGGATATTATTATATTTATTATATATTTTTAAAAGTAAAAACTTACGATTCGTGGCCATTTTACGATTTACGATTTTACTATCCCCTCACGATTTTACGTAAAATCGCGAGTTTGACAACCTTGCTTTGGGAGTGATAAAAACAATTTTATTATTTTAATTTCAGTTTCCATCTCCTCACGAATATATAGTGTCTCTTTTGGATGTGTGCAACACTAGCTACCATAAATATTAACAATTTGATTATTGGAAATGTGGTTTATGCAAATGATGGACAACCTTTGATGAACTATGAATTCAAAAAGACTGAGATTACTTCTAGACCAAGCACTCTACATTATTTTAAATTTGTCAAATTGCAACACATGATGAATGCAAATTACAAAAGTTAGCTCACATAGGAAAAAGATACAAAAGTCAGCACATCTTTTGTCTTTAGTTTTCTTGTACGACCATATGGCATGTAAAGAAATAAGAAAAGAATAATTAATGAAGCATTTGGTGCCAAAACATTAGGAGGCATGGCAATCAAAACCTCAATCATGCAAAAGTTCACCCGTTTGATAACAAAGTGAGGGAGTGGGGAAGCAACATATAGAATGGGTGTAAATCTCACAAAGGTGTTTGGTCACTAAAATATTGCAGCCACCCAATAAGATGAGGTCCAAATTCCTAACCCAAAAAAAGCAGTGCAAACTTTACTTTTGGAAAAGCATTAAAGACATTTTCTGCACCTTGATGTGGCTTATTCAGCAATGGAATGCATGAAAGGCAAAGAACATAGGGGGCAACTTGTGTTTGAGCAATTAAAAATGGGTTTCTTAATAAGTAAGTGTTCTGGTTAAAGTAATGGACTTTGATTGGGACAAGCACCCACCCTTAAAAAAATAAGTTGGTAATATGAAAGGTAACTATAGCAAGCTAATTGCTTTATTTGTTTATTCTAACTTCACTTTTTTTTCCTTTTATCATCACTCAATACCTAACTTTCTGAACAGGATCATCCAATGAGCTTCCACTTTAAAACCACCATGAAATTATAGTTTATGCGGCCGTGACTTAAAGGATGATCACATGCTCGAGTAGTATATAGACAATCAACGCTCTAAGAGATGAAGAAAAAAGTCACTTTTGAGTTGGATCTGGATGGTCTTTATAAAATATATGATGTGTATGCCTTAGATTCTTTTGTGACTTCCTCTTTATACTTTTTAGTTTCTATTTTATTGTTATTAATGCATATTGAGGGTCCTAAATAAAACTATTTACATAATAACTCTCCATTTACGGATTATAAAGTAAGAGTTATAAGTTTCTCCTATTATACGATAAACTTATAACTCTCGTGCAGAAACAAAAAATCGTGAAACCCACCAAGTTAAAAAAAAAAAAAAAAAAGACTGATGAACATTTTTGTGTATGTGTAGGAGAAAATGAATTTCTCCTGCAAGGAGAAACTCATGCCCCATAAAGTAATGGTATAATGTACATGCTCCAAATAATGAATTTAATCACATTTAATAATAGAGTTTGTGTGTTTATCTATTAGAAATTAAAACAATGGGTGTTATTAATATCATGTTAAAGGATACAAGTTGTCTCATGTCATAGAGACAAATATGTGGGCCCCACTGTTTGTTAAAAAATAAAATAAAAAAATCAAGGGACCCACCTTTTTATTTGTGTAGGAGAGAAAAGTTGTCTCCTCCTTCAACATGAGAAAATATTTTTCCTAAAACAATATATTAGATGTGTTTAATAGTAGCTCAGAAAAACAAATTCAAAGAATATATTACATGTAGGGGTGAAACTGGGTCGGATGGCCTATAGGGGCTTACGCCTCGGCCTACGTCAGGTCAGATCTGACCTAGTATATTTTATAAAATAGGCCAGGCTTGGGCCTTGAAAAAACTTGTTTAATAAATAGGTCGTAGGCCCACTTTAACAAGGCCTGACCTATAAGCTTACAGGCCGGCCTAAATTGTACTTTTTATTTTAAATCAAATAAAATAGAATAAGTATGCCTTGAAGAAAAAACAAAATATATAAAATTAATCAATTGCTATTGTTTATAACTTAATTATATTCGATTATATTTTAATAGAAATCTGATTTTATTTCTTATGTAGGAGGAACCAACATCTCAACATGTTAGATTGTGTATATGAATATATTAAAAGTTTTTGGGAGAGGTTATACTTATTACAAGCATCATGATGTGTTTGTTGGATTTATGTAGTTATTTTAATTTACATAGTATGGATCTGTTTGTTGGATCTAATGAAATATATGTTAATTAATTTGAGCATTTTGCCTTTGATAGTGACTTTAATGCAGATTGTGATGAGTTTTGTTGTGATTCATGATTCTGTTTGGACGTTGAAATTATGATTTTTGGTTTAACAACATAATTTGAATATTTTGTGAAGTTGATTCATGGTTCTGCTTGAAAGTTAAAAATTAATAGGCTAACAGGCTAGGTCAGACCATTTATTTTTTTATAAACGGGCCAAGTCAGGCTAACAGTCATACTCTTACTAGGTTTGAGCCATGCCAAGTTGAATTTGGGCATTTCAAGGCAAAGCTTGACCCAGTCGAGTCCACTTTCAACCCTAATTACATATATGTCTTAAATTCTTTTGTGATTTTCTTTCTATTATATTTTTTTAGTTTTATAGTTGTTAATGCATATCGAGGGGTCCAAATAAATCAATTTTTTGTACCACTTTTTTTTTTAATTTGTTTCAACATATGAGAAGTTGATTAGGAGGATTATCATGATAAAGATTAATATAGTTCTGAAATAAATTAAGATTATAAAAATATCTTCAACCCTAAAACAATGTCGTTTTGAAACTAGGCGATATAACTTTATTTTTGTGATAAAAATAACATTAAATTCCTTTTTTTACACTAAAAATACAACTTTTAAATTTATTTCCAACATAGTCGTGCTTCTAACTTTAATTCCTCAAAACTCTTTTTTTATGTTATGAGAAATTAAATTCTCAAATTACACTTTCATTTTGATCTAACGGTGTTGGAAAATGACAGGTAAAGGTAAGCAAAAAAAAATAGATAAAATAACTTGTCCCTCATTTTATCAAACATAGTCAGAAGAAACCAACTTCTTAACTATTCTTTTAATTTTGTTTGAACTTTGCTTTGACAATTATAGACCAGCATAATTAAATAACAATTAGGCTAAGGCTTTTTATGTGGTTCCACTACAAGAATGTCACATTTTGGAATTGTTCTGGACTAGTATTCTAGGTCTGCTGTGGACTACCCGGTAGGCCCAACCCATCACTCACTAGATGATAAAAGATATCTTTACACTTGACTTCCCCTTATACCCGTTGCACATGTGACCCTCGCATGTGAGGAGTCATGCTGCCTCACTCCTCTACGAGGCCCCACAGAGCACAAATGATTATGCCACATCATTCCCTACACACTATATATTATACAGAAAGAATTATATTTATAATTTTTTTATTTACAAACTATAATATGTACCTTCGGAAGTACACAGTGCATTCCGGGAGTACAGAATGTAATTTATAAAAATTTATAAAAAAAATTGTAAATTGATGTTTCCCCTTATTATATATATGGGTTTTATACATATCATGTTGCATGACATTCTTAGTGTCATGTTACTCTCACATGACAAATGGGACCCACCTTATTTTCTTTTAATTTTTTTCTTTTTGAGTGGTACCCACATCAAATGTATTAGAGTAACATGACACTAAAAGTGTCCTACAACATAATATATATAAAACCCTATATATATACCCCCTATCCATTGAGAAGTCGTTTTCTTTCACCATTCCTTTCCATTGCTATAACTTTGCAGAAACAATCTCATAGTCGTAATTGTGCCCTTGAACCTCCCCCTGATTCTCAGCTTTAACCTGAGACTTGAACGTGATCGCAATTTGTTCATACTATTGCTTCACTCAACCACAGTTATATTGAGATACTCTACCTTATAAGTGAAACAACTCTTCCCTCACCCCTTGACAAGTTCAGGAGCTTTCATACAGACAATGTAATTGCCTGACTCTAATTGTTAAATGTATGTTTTCAACGAGACAACTGGTAGACTATTATACTATTTGAAAGGCGTGTGGAGTTTGCAGATCTTCAGAGAAGAGCTAAACTTGATGTTGTGCTTTTTCATTGGACCTCATGTAGACTTTGTTTACGCACCAATGTCACAGGACGTGCTCTACCTACCTCTTATTCCATCGAACCTCATAATTGCATCAGCTTTTAACCTCCCTTCCGTTACCTTTAGCTCCTCTGTTCTAAGGAGATTTAGGTGGCAATTCTAGCTCATACCATTCTGAGTTGTAGTTCTTGTTTTCCGCTCCCTCCCCATATACCCCCAAAAAAAAAAAAAAAAAAACACCAAAAATTATGCTTGAAGATCCAGATTCCTAACACCAATCTTCTCAGCCCAAGTAGCTTAAGAAAAGGCATGAAAAGAATGCATTTATGATACCAAACCTGACATGTATGTATTTTTTAAGATCATACTATCAAATGGTCTTTAATCATCATTCAAGACCACCTGAAGTGGTTTTCGGAACAATGGATTCAAAAACTACAAAAATCTTAGTTTGAAAAATTCAGAAACTAAATAAATAATATCCTACTCATCGTCAAGAAGAAAACAGCAACAACGTTTTGTAGCAAATCACAAATTAAGTAACCAGATCGAGAGCTCATGCCATTATCTTGGCAGACCTAACATAAAGACTGTCAACGACTTTCCCTATATTAGAAATGGTTTCTAAAGTTGCAGGGTATATTGCATCGGTTTTGGGATCATCAAATATGACGAGGCATCCAGCACCTTGATCCAATGTCCCAGCAAACTTCTTGTCCAAAATCATCTGAGACAACTTTCGCTCCACATGATCAAAGGGGAGTTCAATTAGCTCAGCAATATGCACAATCTCAACCCTTGAAAATGGCTCAATCAATCTGCAGAGATTCTGCTCCAGAAGAGTATCATACAGGGATGACAGGTGCCTATGAACAATTGGGTCTTCCTCCAACTGTGCCTTGTAGTCTCGCAAAGCAGTTTCAAATAACTTAAGGGATCGCTTAGAATGAGCATCTGCAACAGCTTTCATGGCATCCAAGTCAGGCCCAACATATTGAAGGCCTGCTTTAGAAGATATAATTCCAGCCACATCATCAGCTTGACTCACCATGATCTTACACAACAACATGTATTTCAGGCTAAAGACAGCTTTGGGTTCTTCGAGAGCATTGAAAGACTCAAAAGCTTCAAAGAAATAACTATATGCAGTTTTATAATCCTTCTCCTCAGCATGAAGAATCCCACTCTGCAGATCTATGGCACCTTGTTGAGCTGGAGGAACATAAATAGCATTTGCAGCTGTTCTTGCAGCCGTGAGGGCTGCTTTTGCCTTTGGAAGGTTTCTTAAGGAGAAGTGTAGCTTGCTTTCAAGCAAGTCTATGTCTACAAGTAGAAGCTTGTCATCTAATCTTCTAACCTCTTTTACCAAGCCATTAAGGAGAGTCAAAGCTTCTGAATACTCCTTACTTTCCATCAGAAGTGCTGCAAGCCTTGCCTCAACTCGCTGCCTCAGGAAGGTACGCTTTTCAGCGCGAGTCCATTGCACCATTTCTTTGCAGAGTGAAATTTGTAGATCAGATGTCCCCGGTATTTTAGCAACACAATCAATTATTCCCCTCACAATCTTTGCAGTTTTTGCCTTAGGAATCAAGGAAAAGAAGGGCCTCAACTGAGTAAGAAGGCTGCGCAGTTCCTCTGCCCTATTCTCTTGCCTGAGAAGGTCAGTGAGGTTTGTGATGGCCTGCTCTTTCATGCGTACTGCTTCTGGAGAAGAAGAAGGGTCATCAAGTACACGATAAAGAATGGAGATGGCCTCAGATGGGTCTCTGGCCTCCAATGCCTGAGCTATTGACTCTGTTGTGGCAGGAAGAAAAGAAGACATGGCTACTTCTTGGACAAAGTTCTGCAAGAAAAAATATTTTTTCAATGGAGAGAAATCTGAAAACTGAGGACTTTTGCATAACTATCAATTGGGACAGTTTTGGATACATATAACTATCAATTGTTGAATGGAAATATTATCTAAAAATGGCTGTCGACCAGTCACCCAAAAATATGGAATGATTTTACCTGTTAAAATGTTTATATTGACTTTGCAAAATCCAAAGGATGTAATGTAAGGCGAGGGGAAACAGGTCATATGCCATTTGATAATCTTTGATGACAAACATCTCAATAATGGCTAGCATTGCAATGTCGAGAAATACTATTTCACAGTTCAAAATAAGATGCTGAGTTTTAATTATCAATGAAAAAGGGAGGTCGGAACAAGAGGTCGGAACAATAAAATGCCTAGTGGAAATTCCTCGTTGGTGAATACACTTGCCTCACAAGATGAAGGCATGATCATGAAATATTTACTTGTTAAAAAAGGTTTTAATTAAAGTAAAATTTTAAGAAAGATGAGTAAAAGGCTAATACAAGACCTCAAATGAGAAGGACATAAAATCAATTTATTCCCACCAGAAAATTAGTTCATGCCATGTCCAGTTGATTTATCCTTTCCCAAAAGTGTAAACTCCCAGGGTTTTGCCTATATTTAAGGGTGGCAATTTATATCTACAGGTTGTTTTCATGTCTGGTTAAGACCGGGGTACAACAACAAATTGCTCAAGACAAAAATGAAACAAATACAACACAAAGTTTTGCTTCACTTCCATTGAATTAACAGTGACACAAATGAAACTACAAGATGATCAGATTATTGAAAACATTGAGAAACAATAGGAAACCTGATTAATTCCATGTAACTGCGCAAAATTGAACATAGAAAGTAATCGCAATTCCAATTCTATCAGAGTAATATCTTTCAACACATAGTATCCCCAATCATTGAATTGCAACCAAAATCAATCCAGAATGAATAAAATTTATAGACCAAAGTAAATCATCATATCAGTCATGGGTCATTGGTTTTTGAGGGACTAGAGCCCAAAACCCTACAAGCCCCCACCAAACATCCCACACTACCAATGAGTCATGAGACTAAACAACTAAAAAAGACAAAGTGAGAGGGAGGAGAATGGAGAGATGCAAATGATGGTGGTCCCTTGGTCAGTATAGAGTTTCCCTGGGTGGAGAAAAAAATTGGTTTGCATGAAAAAACAAGGGTGGTGGACTGAATTGGTTTTAATATTTGTTTCTTCCTTTCTAGTTTATACTTATATGGGTAACAACAGGTTAATACAGACAGAATGTGTTTCAGTTTAATGCCAAGACATGTCAATTGCCACCTTACTGCAATTCTAATTGTTCATAATAATAGATATTTTTTCAATAACAAATAATGTTTTCAATGACATATGGCAGCCATTGACTGCAAGCCCCAAAAGAGCCATTACAGCAAGGCACACACGTGGCATTCGTCACTGTGAAGAAAGGGTGGCCCCGGGCATGAGGCTCCTACCATTGTAGGGTGTGGGGACTACGGAGGGTTATCGTCAATAAAAGTGGATTTTTTATGTAAAATTTATTAAATACACCTGTAGAAAGTGCATAAGAAGAATTGATTGCTTTCATTGACAACATTGATCAAAAATATCTTAAATGAGACTTTAAATAGCCTTCTGCCTTGCAGAAGAAGAAAAATATAATCTACCCAGTGAGAAGTACTCATTTCCCCCTTGCTTCAAATTCAAACTGTCAAACTTGGTTCTCCTGTTCCATCTAAATCTACAACAACCTCCCAGCCTAAAATATTAATATAAACAAAACACACGCACACACACCAGAACAACAACCAAACAAACAAAGAGGAATGACAAAAATACAAAAAAATAGGTTATGGTCAACAATCAGCCACGAAATTCATCAAAATGAAAACAAGAAATTGAAAAGTTAATTATACATGTTACTTTGATTTTAAACTGGAATAAAAAAAAGTATCCAAAGAACACTGATATAAATTTGAAACAGAAATTGCACAGAAGGGGAGCATGTTCCATCACTTTCTACATGCAGTATACCAGACACACTCAAGACTTAAGACACACTCACAAATCAATAGCAGGGTTTCTGGTCTAAAATGAAAATGCTATTTCAAAAGGTTAAACTAAATCATCAAAGTCAAAAGATTAGAATGTCTACTCGGATTTGGTTTCTCTCATTTCAGTTTTCCATGTGAAGAGAGAGATACACAAAATACAGTACAGGGAGACCCACATTACAGTACAATAACCCACAAATTTCACCCAGCAGAGATTTTTTTATGTCTATCTCTCTTCGCATGACCCTGACATGAGAAAGGCACACTTTGAGAGGATTCAAATCCCCTTTTATTCACACTACAGAAGTAGAAAGCAGAGAAAAACAAAGATTTGCATTGGCTAATCCCATGATCAGCCACAAATCCATGACCAAGACAAAATTATCTTCAACAATGAATTTCAACAACTAGAATGCTAAGCCACATTGAACGGATAAAATAATTGAAAAGTGTTTTTTTTTTTTTTTTGACGCATGCATATAGAGTAGATAACCTCATTCTCATACACTAGACAAGAATTTTACGCATTCTTAGCAAAGACAAACAAGTTAATGTTTATATACTTATGTATGATACTATATCATGTTCAAAACACAGGCAAACCCATGATCAGTGTGCGATTATTGAACGATATCAAAAACTTAATTAAGACAATTTTGTGAGTAACACACAGAGCATTGATGTGGCACGTGAGGCAACACAAATAGAACTAACTGTAACAGGGCAATACATAATCCTTCTCAACCACAGAGGATATCAGAGAAATGGAAATTTTAGGACAATTAAAAATTGAAAAGGAGATCAAAGAAGTTCCTACTGCTACTTTACATATGCATACCAACTTAACACCACCTTGGTTAGGTTTTCAGAAATCTTTAACAAAACTTTTCCTCCTTTAATCTTCTCCTTATGTAGACATTTAATCATGAATTTCAGTGGCAGAATGAAATAAAACCCTAAGCGAAAAAAATAATAATAATAATAAAGAAAGGATGACATACTCAGGTCAAAGAAGAACAAGACCTTTCCGGTGATCCTGCTGAACAAGAACCGCAGGGATCGGTGTTCAGATTCGCAGAGAGAGAGAGAGAGAGAGAGAGAGAGAGAGAGAGGAATATTGAGTTTCCTTGTTTACTCAATACTCATCCAGTTTAGGAACTGATATTAAAGTGCACAATTTCATCTCAAGATTATATTAATTGAATAATTGATATAATAAGAATAAGAATAAAGAGAAAAAAAGGTTTTGGACTTCTTCGTAATTTTGGTACTGGGCCTTTCTATTCTTTGCAGTAAGCTTATACTTGAATTAGAAATTTGTTTTCACGCTTTTGCTATTTTTTATTGCAGTGGTTTTTCAATTGAGGGATATATTGGGCCCGGTTTGATCAGGCCCAACTGACCTTGACAAAACTTGAGGTGAGTGTGATTTTTATCAAATATAAAGGGTGTATTGGATTAGGATTTAAAAAAAAAAATTGAGATAAAAAATCTTATAAATTTTAAAAAAACTTTAGAACTGGAGGCATTTTAAAGACTTTTTCAAAATATTTTTTTTACAATCAAGATTTCATAAGATTATATTTTAAAGGATTTTAATAGAATTTATAAAATTTGAAAGGACAATATGGATTTATAAGATTTTAAAAAATCATATGAATTTTTAACAAACACTCAAAATTATAAAAGTCAATAAAAAAACAAAGAAATACAATGATATTAATAAAAAAAGTAAAACCTAATATAATTTTCTCAATAAGTAAAACATAATATAATTTTTAACAAACATTTAAAATTACTAATTCAACAACTCTCCACATATCTAAAGCTATATTAATTCTCCACGCATTAGTATTTTCTCGTTCCTGCTCTTGGGTTTGACCAATGAGTTGAAAATTATCTTCTTTATTTGGTATCAAAGCTATGTATATATGATTATAAGACCCAACTTTTTTATTTATTATAATAATTCTAAATTTGTATACAGAACCTAAAGTTCATGCTAACATTTCGTTTGGATTTATTGCAATTGATCTTGGAAATGTTGAATTTTTTGTTCTACGTGATGAGAGTTTTCTAACCATATATCATATGCATGTTTTCATTGATTCTAAGAAAATTTTGAATATGAATTTCTGGGTTTTATTACATGAAAGTTTAGAAAATTTCTCAAATTATTTTCAATTGATACATTAAAACCTTAAATTGCTTTAGGGATTTTGAAAAATAAGTTTTTAGTTATCTATTGACACAAAAACTGTTTGAAATCGTTTCCTATATAGAAAAAATTTCATTCTTGAATGTATTGTTACGAAATATATGGTTCATATTATAAAAGTTTTAATCTTTCTTTAAATTGATATTGTTTTATTCGTGTAAAATGAAAATTGATTTGGGGACTTTAGTTCCCCTGTTATTTTTTCACTGTTTTATGTTGTTTTTAATATAAAAATTATATTTTTTTTTGCCAAAAACATTTGTTACCCATAGCTTGAAATATATTTTTTAAACTTCCAAAACTCTCAAATAATTTTATATTTAAATTTATTTTATATTTAAATTTATTTTATATTTAAAATGAGAGTGAATAATACAATACAATTTTTTATTAAAATAATTTTATTTACTTATGTATAATAAATAATGTATTGGTGTTTTTATTATTTTTACGTGATTTTCTTTTATCTATTTTTATAATTTTGTGAAATTTGTGTCATATTAATTCTATTCAAGATATTATAATGTAATGATTTATCATTGTAACTAAATTAGTATATTAATGATATATTATTAAAAAATTTATGCATGATATTATTATTAACACATTCATTAATAATTATGTAATAACTAATTTCTTTTTTTCTATTCAAGGAGTAAATAAACTTCTTTCATTGAATATGTTGTTATTGAGAATTTTTCTTGTTACATTGATGTGACTGTCAACGAGATATAATTTTCTTAATGTTTAATTATATATGATATAAATATATTTTAGGTTGTTGAAGATATGTGTTTTTTTTTATAGCCATTGAAGATATGTGTTTATTTTAAAAATACAATGGTAAAATGTAAAAACAAAATATTCGAGATACTTTTTGACATTAAAAAATAGTGATACGGAGAAAATGATATAGGTTTAACATTTTTATCCCTTGAAAAAGACAACTTTTGATGCTAAAATATAAACTGAAATTTGCACTTAATTTATTTGGTTTTTTTTCCACCAAGAGGTTCATATAATTAATTATGAGTATACAATTTCATCATAAGATCACAAGACATGTATTTACTATATTAACGTTTCTTATATAAAATTATTTCCTATAATCACAAAATAACGTTATTTTGGAGTTTAAAAAGAATGCAAGGAATTTTAATAAAATTTTATAATACAAAAATAAAAGAATTTTTTTAAAAATACCTGTATTTTTTTCTCTATACCCCAAAATTAATGACATTATTTTGGGTTACAGCAAATAACTTTTCTTGTTATTAAATAAACACTTTTCCATTTACTTATCTATTAAGAGATTCATTATTCTCTAGTATAACATTTATTCCAATCTGTCCCCAGATCATACCAAACAAACATAACTGTCAAAAGACGAAAATTGTTATGAGTTTGAACTTTGAAGACAAGCCTGTGTTCCTAAGATGGCGTTTGGTACAGGAAAAAAAAATTTTGATTCCGGAAAATAAACTTGCGGATAAATAGTTAGTAAATTTTTTTACGGGATAATTTGCAAAAAGATATTTGGTAGCCCAAAAAGTTTGACAAGAAACTTGGATTAATTTGACTAACTATGTTTGGTTGATTATAAAAAAATAATGAAAATCTTTACCAAAATTACCAAATTACTCGTACATTTTCTCTCACCCCTCTGTTTATATCTAGGGCTAAGGGTGTTTTTGTCTTAAAAACTTGGAGCCATTTTCCCCCGAGTCGACAATTCCTTTTTCCATATTTTCAATGGCAAAGTTCAACAACGTAAAATGGTGGCAAACAACTTGACCGCAAATTGAGTTTCCAACGAACAAACATTTCTTCCTCCTACCAAACACATCAAATTATTCTTTCATACCACACTTTCCATGGCAAAAAAAATTTGGCTGCGTAGCAAACGCCCCCTAAAGTAAGTTACCAATTACGTTTACATCAGATTTAGGCAGAGGCATTATGGAAGCATACCAACACGTAACGCAGACAGTTAATTAGGCGGAAAACTCACTTCCAAACAAGCTATATTACGTATGGCTTGAGCATACGGCCCATACTCTTAACTTTTCTGTGTTTCTTTTTAGGACGATAGAAAGTGCTATAACTCATACTTGGGAACTAAAACTGAACTCTTATTTTTTCATTCCTGAGCACATAAGATATGTCAACATCATCTCATTATAAAATCATGCCAGTCTTAGAAAGCTTCATACATGCATGTGGACATTAACATTTATGCGTAATTTTGAAATTAGAATAAGAGTAATCCTTTTAAACATGCATAAAAAACTTTTAACTTAAAAAATTGGATATTGAAGTTTAGGCATAATATGGGTGTCAGAATATATGTAGTACACATTGGATTTAGCTTGTAATTTCTGACTCGATAGTACATTTTGCATGCTTTTAAGTAGGATTATCAATAACGCAAGGTATCCATTTTTTATCCCAGTGAGAGTCAGATACTCTTGGGCAATTACGGGGGGAGGGGTTCAATTTTTTAGTGTTATTGAAGATAAATATTTTTTACTATAGACACATGATGTGATAAAGTCCCCCACCCATTTTAAAAAAAAAAGTGGTGACACTATTTTCGATGTGAGAGTGGCACAAGATAATTCTCTCATGTAAAATGAGAAAATAATTTTTCTTATGAGGATCAAAAATTTTAAAACTATATATTTATATATGAGTTTATATTTTTCATGTTATAGGAGATAAATTTATCTCCTATGTACAAACACATAAAAGTGTATGTGATTCATATTTTTGTTTTATCTCTTTTCTCTTCACATGGATCCACATAGACCTCTTTATGTGTGTAAGATAAATTTCTTATAACATGATAAACAATAAACTCACACACACATATATATATATATATTAGATTATTTTTATATTAATGTAAGAATAAGAAGTTTTATTCTCAATTACTTATTCGAAAGCATAAGATTAAATTATTGTTTTTTTTCTTCCCTTCTTTTTTTTTTCCTCCAAAAATATATACTTTCACACATTAAATTATTGCTACCTTATCACTTGAGCCTACACAAAATTATTCGATTAAGAAAAGCGAGTGAAAATATTGACTTCGAAATTAGAACATCCAATTATCAGGGAAAAAAAAAATAGAGCGACTTTTATATATCCTGCAAAAGTACCAAGCTAAACAAAAATATGCACCACGTTTGATATATGCTTTGTACTCACGATCCACATCAAAATCCCATCTGAATGCTCGTTACATTGGGCAGAGCATACTATATGATCATTAAAAAAAAAAAAAAAAAGATGACCAACTTCAATTGTTACTTAACATACATAATAAATTATTACATTATATTTCATACAAAATCCCTGTTTTGATTCTCGTCCATCTTTCCCTTCCCACTAGTGAACACAAAGTCAAGGTTGTAAAGTAGTGGGACCATAGTTAGAGAGCACAGGAACACCATCACAGGGCCAAAGATCCAAAGCAACAGAGGAAGTCCTGAATAGAAGAGCCTATTTCCCACAGTGTTCATAATGAAACCTTTCTCTAAGATTTCATATATATATTCTGGGGTCACAAGGGACATGGGGTCCTGAGGGGTGTTGATTAGGATGTTCACTTGGTTTATGAACCTTATAGACACAGTGTGGCAGAAGAATGAGAAGAGGAAAATAGTTAGCAAAGTGACATATTTGAGTGCTACCATGAACTCCCCATGAGCCCCATAAACTGCGTCATTGAGTGGTTTCTTCACACTGTAGGTGCTGCTTATGACTGCTGCTAAACCTGAGCATAGTAGGATGGAGGTTGTGGCCATTAGGGTCGCACCCATGATTGTGTTCCTTAATGATTGAACAGCCAGGATGTTTTTCTTGTCATTGTCCTGCCATAATCAACACATCTTAATTAATAAATTACCTTATCAGATTATATACATGCACTTTCTTTTTGCCAATGAAAGAAAACTACTTTGGCTCACAATTTCATGAACCACAAAAACTATATGAAGTATACTTATCAGTGCAACATAGTGAAAAGGGGTAACCAGTTAATGTTATTGTTCAAGCAGTAGCTATTCCTACAAAGACATAGCATATTTACATATACGAATGATGGAAGGACACGTTAAATTTTTTTATTGGGGATATGACAGATTTTGCTTTAGTAAATGGGATAAGATATGAGATTTTCTTTTTGGGGGTAATATGATATGAGATAATTGTATGGAGGGAAGAGTGCCACCAAAAATAGTTATTCCTTTTCTTCTTATCCTGGGACCCGGTTTTAATTGGAATATATTTTGGGGAAAAAATTACTTTAGTTAAAATTATTGTGTTTTGTTTAATATTTAAATTAAAAAAATCTCTTACTCTCTCTCACAATAATTTCTATTGTATAATTATTTTTTTCACTATAAAACACATTAGTTTTGACTAAAATGACAAAAAAACACCGTATTTTAAGGAATAAGGAGAATTCTAGGAAATACCAAATGTAAGCCATCATAACGCACTAAACTAGAATAACGAGGATGGGGTTTGTGAAGCACTAGTACGGATTAATGTAAATTTAAATTAATGAACTGTTTTATAAGCGCCCGTAGCAAAAATCTTAGATATTCTGTTTAAATATATTATCATCAATAAGCGGATTTGCATATGAACATTATGTAGATCTACCTAGAACGCACTTGAATTGGATATAAACCTAATTATACCATACATAAAGAATATTATATCTTGCTTTCTTTGAGTCTAGTCGTAAAAATGGCATTTTATCTGGTAGGAACAAGAATAAATTAAGAAAAGCTGATTGCGAAGGAATATATATAGAACATGCGTAATATCCAATTGTGTAGATGGCTCTTTCACTTTTTTAACTACTCCATTTAATTTCCTTCATATTCTCCCAGGAAATGCTATATGGTAAAAATTCCAACACCAGGTTATACATAAGAAAAATGTTTCTGACATGCTAAAAGATAAGGCAGAATCTATATACATAAAAATAACCTTCATCTGTAATGCAAATCCTTTAGGATAGTGTATGAATCAACAATTTTAGAGTTAGCATTGGAACATCCATCAAGATCAAATGTTCAACATCAAATTTTATAGCTAAACAATAAAGGTAATTCATTCTTATTATAACTTTTACTTCATCATTAAATAACGTGTTAAAACATTAATAAAATAATTTGGCAAGAAATGAGTTGCAATAGTGAAAAAAAAACATTCTATATTAACAGTGAATGAAAAAAAAGAGAGGTACCTTTATCATGGTATTAACCCAATTCCGACGGCCACTAGCATTGATGCCAATGATGGTTGTGTGTGGCTGAGTCCGAACCTTATGCCACAGCCAAAAATGATAACCAATGCTTAAGAAAAATCCCAAGGGAACCAATATCACATCCAAATAACACTTCTTCCATTCCATCTCTTCACGTTTCAGAGCTGATTGTGCTCTTTTATGCAAAAGCTAACAATTTCCCTTCAAAGTTAATGCCTTCTTTTCTATGGCAAATTATATACCAACGGCCATATATATATGCACATACCTAAAGAATGTATGCGGACAAAAGACCCTTACTTTTCCACTAAATTACAAACAGATTGATTTTCCTTGTGGGAGTGGATGACTTTTTATCATGAGTTTAGTAAGAGAAAGATACAAGTAATAAAAATTATGAGAGAGAAAGTGAGTGATATTTTTTTAATTTAAATTTTAAATAAAAAAACTAAATTATATCTTTTTGTTATTTAAAATGACATGATTCTATGTTATTTAAAAGATAAATATTTTTTTTCTTTTATTTAATTATTTTGTCACCTGCTTTTTCCTCAATTAGTTAACTTTTTAAGAAGAATGGCAAGTGGGTTATATAAGGGAGGTAGCGAGGGTAAGAGGGGAAATGAAAAGGATGGTTTGGAAAATGGTGTGAGTGAGATTCTGACAAGGCGCATTGTTACGTCATAGATAAGAAGGGATGAACCCGACACCAACAATAACACGCTTCTCTCATGAGTTTGGGTGCTACGCAAGTGCGTTTGCTCACACTTTTTTATCGACACAACTGCGCGTTACGGTTACATGTAAACTAAGTAGTGCCGTTCCCTTCATAAATTCGTCACTAACCAACAAAAGTCACATTACTCTTCACTCTTTCATATATCAATAGATTAAGCATCGAATTCACAGTTGATTCACGTTGGTGGAGCTACAGCTACTAAACCCAAAATCAGTTACATCATAGAATAGCATAAATCATTAATGTAATTTTATCTAATTAATTAAATTTTTGAATTGAATTAAATTTTTTTTGATACATTGGTGAGAATTGAATACACAACATAATACAATGTATTCAAATCTCTCACCATCAGACCAATCCTAGTAGCTTGTTGAATTGATGTATCATTTACCTTTCAAATTTAGTGGACTCTCTTACAAATGGTCGTGTTAAAGTATAATATAAATCATTAATGAGATCATTACCTAACAACTTAAACTTTTGAGTTAAGTTGGTTCTTTATATGAAATCTTAGTTCCAGGACCTACCTCGAATCAGACTAATCGCGAAGCGATGAAATGATTAAAAATCTCTGAAAAAGATTAAGTTTTTGAGTTCATCTAATTCTTTATAAGTTAAAATCATAGCTTCTTTGTTCAAATATATATATATATATATATATATATATATATATATATATATATAGCTTCTTTAATAAAATAAAAAATTAATCTTAAATTTTCAAAAAAACTGGGGGAGGAAATAAAAGTTTCTTTTTAAGTTATAGTCTGTGTCACCCTGATTGAGGCTCAATTTTATTACTCAAATATTAAAAAAGAATCCAATTCATATTTAGAATAATACTTTTTCAGATAAATATGATTCATGTAATTATTTTAAGTGTTTCAAATTATTGACAAATTTAACTCGAACATCTAATTATTTAGTCATAAGCTAACATTACGTAATATAATCAGTTTAACTCAAAAGTTTAAATTGATAAATGATGTGTATAATAATAATTTTATATTAATTTCTTTTACATTATTCCAATTAATTTTTGTTTATGATTTTAAAAAAAAAATTTGACAATTTTTTTTTTCAGGTAGAGCCATTTAACTAAAATGCAGCCTAATTAATGATTTGTATTCGATTTGTCAAAAAATATTGTATCGCTCATTAATTAGTTAGACGAGTAAATCACAAGTTTTCATAGTTGATCCATGTTAATATTGAATTATTTTATTTATAAATAACTTAATATGATATCAAAAGAAATTGACATTAATATACACATATTTTCAATTCAAGGAATTGATATATTTTTTTTTTGTAGTCAAGTAATGTTTGGGCTATCATGCATTATGTTGCACCGAAATTTCAAAAAATCTAAAGTATCATGTTTAACATCCCAATATTTTCTGACACTCTGACACGCTCCGATATTTATATAATATTTAAAATTTTATTATATTTCATGAAAAAATTGATTGATATTTTACCAAACTGATATAATAAAAATTAAAATTAGATATTGAATAAATCTCATTGAAGTGTATCAGAGATTTTCAATTTGAAAATATAATAGTAAATATTTACATCTTATGTTTCTTTGCAAAATTGATGGGTATTATATGTTTAGTTTCATTTTTTTGCTAAATTATTGAATATTAAATATAATATCCACTACATAAATCAAAAATATTATTTAATATCAAAACGTATTCTAACATGTTCAAATTTAACATTATTTAGAATTAACATATTAGAGTATCGTATCGTATCCCATGTAGGTAAAACATAATCATGCATGCCGCTCAACCTTTCTAAGTATTAACTTCCCCTATCAAATGGGTATTTACGAATTTTTGAATATTTCTAATTAAGATTCGACTGTGGTCGGCACAAGCAAATATCAAATCCAATACATTTTATATATTTTGATAAAAAATAAAAAAAAAAGCCTTATTGTACACACTTTTATATACATCTACTTACATTCTTGTATAGGTGAAAAAATTAGAATACATGCTATATACATAGGACTAAGCAAACGATAAAAATTATGCAAATATGAAATAGTGTATGGATAAGTGTGTGTGAGTAACTGTACTCTATTTTCGATAAAAAAAAATTTAAATATTATTTTTTTAATAAAAAATTATGGAAACATAATTGTTGTAAATGTATAGTACTCAAACACGTCACACATGAGTGCGACCGGTTGGAGAGAGACACCCTATAGGGGGCGTGTTCTAGGAGAGAGACACGCCACACAGAAGACATATTTTAGGAGAGAGACACGCCCCACATGAGGCGTGACCTGCATGGGGCGTGAGTGGCCCAATTCTTCCATATTTAAACCTTTCTCCTCTCCACATTCCGCACAACTCTTCTCCATCATCAATCCATACTCTTACATACATTTTTCACTAGTTTATTTATATTTTGTTTTGTGTTTTTCATTAATATTTTTAAGAATGAGCTATAATTCTGATTTTATTCGTGTTGTTCTACTATAATGGTAGGAAAGTAGAAGGTTGTTGCGGGGTAGTTTTTGAAGGCGAGAAAAGACCATCACATATTAAGCGAAACTCAACAGTTGTAGAACTGCATCAGAAAATTTGCCAAAAATTAGTTCTCAAAGATAACCAATCAATCACTCTGGTCACGACAAGATTATGGCAATCTGAACAATACATTAGTTTGCAAGTGGTGGCTGACGAATATGTAGATATGGTAATGAAAGAATTCTTCAACCAGTCTAGAAAAGATTTCTTAGACTTGTACGTGGATATTGCTAGAGCAGAGGATGTTGTTTTACCTATGAGGTCAGTTGCTTGCAATTCACCATGTAATGCATCATCATCTACTGCTCCAGTTGTTAACATGTCTGAGGAAGATGAACATAACCCTACCTGAGTTATGGATGACGACTATGACGATGATGATGAGAAAAATAGCGCAATGGAGGATCGTCTTCTTGCAGAGGATGCGAATGCTTCGGACAATGATGAAGAATGTGGCAGGTTCCCTACTCAAATCCAGTTATGGCATGATCTGGGGGAGTCTCGAATCCTAGAACATCATGACATGGCCTCGAGTCAAATACCACAACATCCTAAAGGTATGTTAGGAAACAACTTATATATGTATATATCGTTTTGTTGATGTAATTTATTCTAGTTGTTACTATTATTAATTAGTACATACAAGTGATGATGTCGTTACTCCTTTTTGTGATGAAATTCCACATTACACATATATTGATTGGGAGCATCCGAGTGAACAATAATCATATATCGAGGATTCGGGTTCAATCCAAGGTCCATGGAAATTAGGGGGAAAGTTGTTTGTTAACCAGGAATTTACATCCAAAAAAGAGGCTCAGATGGCAATCAAGCGCAACCTCATAAAGAGCATCAAGAAGCAATTTTGGATGAGAGCATGCCTACAAAGTTAAGCATGAAATGTTGCACGCATGAGCAGAGTTGCCCATGGAGGGTCAGGATAATAAACCCAACGCATGGTGAAAATTGGAAGGTTATGAAATGGGGTGGGGATCACAATTGCTTGAATGATCATATTTCTCAAGAACACAGACAGCTTGATTCTGATGTTATTGCATCACTTGTAGTAGATACATTATTTCAGAATATTATGATATATTTAAAATTTGGTTCATATACCTTTGTTTGTGTTAATTTGTACATTACAAGTTGATTGTTAGAGATGATAAAAGAGGAACCATCAGTCTCAATTGCACTGGTTCAGGAGAGGATCACTCATTCTTATGGATTCAAAGTTTTATATTAAAAGGCATGGTATGCGAAGCAGAAAGCAATGACAACGTTGTATGGTGATTGGGAGGAATCTTATGCATATTTAGCCAGGTGGTGTGAATATATGACCCTAATAATCGCAAAATGTGCGCCCTAGTGTAATGCCTCACCTCCTCAAGATATTAGGCAACTGGACCCCAATGGGCTTACAATTTATCAAGGTATGAAATACGTAGATCGCCATCAAATATGTCTTCGCCAGCAATGGGCGCATGGCTAAAAACCTGCTCACACTCGGCAAACCAATCCAAAGCAGTATGTCCAGTAACTACTTGCCCGTCAGTAGGCAAACCATGTATACCAACCACGTCCTGTAATGTGATCATCATCTCTCCTTGCGTCATATGAAACGTATATGTCTCTGGTCTCCACCTCTCGACCAGAGCACTAATAAGGGCACCATCCATATGAAATACAAACGACAATTGTCAATTCATATGTAACCACTTCAATAATATATAAAAATTAGTGTAACCACAATCTGGTTCGTTGGTTTCTAAATTACATACCTGAATATGACGCATATGTGCCACATGTATGAAATCGGCCTGTGTGAGGTAGGCAGCCACAACGTCTGGAATATCACCATGACAGGGTCCCCCTGTAGTTTTCCTAGTCGAGTCTTCAACCCTCTAACCTTATCCTCGTTCCACGCGGTCTGTGAAATGTGAGTGCGTTGTGTCCTCCTCTGAAGTACCTCCCACTTATATGGTCCAGGAAGAACATGTGGAAGGCACGACCTCATCATCGGATGCAGGCCGCGGCGACTCAGATGAAGACAAATCAGCCATAACAGAATACTATTAAAAAAACAAATTGTTTATTATAATTAAATTAAATTAATATTGCCTACTCTAATATTTAAAAAAAAATTAAATTAAAACGTATTTTTTATTTAAAAGTATATGTTTATATAATACAATTCCATATAATTATGTTAGGTGATAGTCCTCAAGAGTTGAGGCCCATTAAGTGTAAATTGTTCCACAAAACCCATGTTTTGGTTATAAATCACTCCCTTTAACCTTCTTCTTTTCATATAGAGCAACTGTTTTGAATAGTGGACCAGAGCAATGCCGAAAGTGGGAATTAAGGTAGACCTGGAGCAAATTTAACATTATCTTTTTCACATATGACTATTGGGTTAGTTTGCTTTGTTCAGGACACCTAAGGCCCATCAAAAGGAACCACAAAATGAAGAGAGAAGAAGGAGTGTTGCGCAAAAAGGAAAAAGAAGTCTGCTATAGTACAACAGCAGTCAAAGGAAGCAATGGGGAGCCGCCACGTCAGCTACAGCAGAGAAGGTGGAGGTGCTGCCTCTGCTACAGTACGAAAGCAAAGAAGCTGAGCAATGGGGAGCCGCCACGTCAGCTACAGCAGAAGAAGTGGAGGTGCCTCCCTGAATCCGATACTCCTACTCACAAAGGGAGCCAAAAGCAAGGGGGACCACTTCCATTTAAGGCCAAGCTGGCAAGAAGCAAAGCTACCATTGGAGAGGATTTAGACAAAGCACGACCCTTGATGAAAGGAACAATGGAGATCAAATGAAGAACCCTATAAAAGGAACAAGCAATCCTCATAAAAGAAAGGAATCGGCACCCATCCTAGGACTCGTTGTCTATTTGTTTTCTTTTTGTAAAAATGCTCACTAGGAGCTAACTTCCTCTAAGTAGGTGAAGGTTCCATAGAAGTAATTCCTTTTGTCTTAGGATAGCTTTGTAAGGAACACATATTTTATAAATGAATTTTGAGTTGCTCTTTGGTTTAATTTATTGATTTTGTGAAACCCTTTGGGCTGGCAACCTCATCCCAGGACCACTCGGTTAATGAAACACTGACAAAGGCGTGTGGAACATTCTCAAAATCCTGGGGTAGTTTAGCCTGAAGAAAGGAGGGAGAAACACCTGGAATGGGGAGCACTGCTATGTGAATCCATGCTCTTTTGAGAATGCAGCATGGTTTCCTTGCATATAACTCCAAGTACTGTGGAGTAACGTGGAGAGTAAGGCCTTACCCTCTGCTTACCTATAGCAAAACAAGGGAAGGAGCAAAATCCACTTGTAAAATATGCTACCAGGCAGGGTTAACCAAAGGGATGAAAACATGGAACCCGTAACACCTACTTGATCTTTTTCTTTCTGAAATTAATCTTAACTCAACTTCTATCACAACCTTTTCCTCACGATAACTGAACTGTGTTTTACCAGCTGATGCTCTTACTTTCATTTCGTTGACTGCTCTTAAAGTTACTTCAATTGATGTCTTTTTATTCGATGACCGTGCTAAGTCATTCACTGCTCTCATCTGGTTCAGAATGGTTAACATTGTTTAACTAGCTGCCCAGAGATTGCTCTTTGTGAAGCTTAGCTGAGAATAATAATTTCTTTTATTGCTCCATTTTACAAATTAAGTTTCCTTTAGCGCTTCTTACTTCACAACTGCTCCCTGAGGACGATAAATCTGGGGCTACAATACCCTATATTGCTTGACACGTACGCTTGCGTATAGTTGAAGAGGGTTGCTCTTAGTCAGAGTAGATTGCTCCTGTTGGCAATCCTGATTACTACTCTACACTCTTGCTCTCTGAAAGAAATATTCCCGAGCAGCTCTTGGTTCGACCAAGCATTAGGTCACTAAGCATACCTTACGTCACTAACCAATTTCTAAGTCACTAACCTTTTCTTAAGTCACTAACCATTTCTTAAGTCACTAACCATTTCCTACGTCACTAATATAATATATTTATTGCTATAATTAAAAAATGAGTAAACACCCTTTTTAGTCCTTGTCAATATCTACGAAGTCCTTTTTAGTCCCTGGCAATAAAAAAGGACCAAATTGGTTCCTGAAATTACAAAAAAAGGGTCATGTTAGTCCTTATGTCAACTCCCAAATATGTAGAGTGGCCCTTTTCTTGTACTTTCAGGGACCAATTTGGTCCTTTTTTATTGCCATGGACTGAAAAGGACTTCGTAGATATTGCCAGGGACTAAAAAGGGTGTTTACTCTTAAAAAATAGAAAGCAGATATTGAGACTTACTTTAGTGGCAGTGCTTCGCCGTGCGAAAAGCTAAAGATGAAATCTAGAGAGAAGTCAGAGGTTACTTTTAGAGAGAAGGTGTGAAGAGGGAAAAATGAAAAATGGGGTATTCATAGCCTCTGGGGCGTGTCTCTCTCTTCCAGGTCACGCCTCCTGTGGAGCGTGTCTCTCTCCATCCATTCACGTCTCCTGTGGGACATGTTTGAGTGCTATACATTTATATATACATTCAAAAAGATCACTTTTCCGTAATTTTTTATTAAAAAAAAAGTTAAATTTTTTTTACCCTCTATTTTCATCTAACTCATTTTACCAATTCAACAAACTCTCATTAATATTTTTTTATTCAGTAATCTAATTTTAGAGTTTGAGCTAGACTAATAAGTAATGACTAAAATAATACTTTTAAGTACCCAAAACAAATATTACCAACGCAAACAAAAAAATAAAAAATAATAATCTTTTGCAGTGAAACACACAAAGGAAACTTTTCTTTTACATATATCACACCATAGACATTTTTTCGTTATCAAAGTAAGCCCAATTATTTATTCATTTTTAGAAAATAAAAAGCAAAAACCTCGATGATTTTTTCGTAAATCAATTCATACTTTAAAAAAGTTGGTCAAAGGAAAAACAAAAACAAAAAGTTAAAAAAAGACATTGATAAAGAAAGTTCAGATTTATTTTTTATATATGCTATATAAACGCATTCATGAAATGATAAAATAATTCCAGGTTTTTCATTTTTAAGGAATGTGATTTGAGTCTGTGTCATTTTCTGCTAAAGCATGCTTTGGACAAAGGGATAGTGGGATGTGCATAATTGTTTAGGACATTGTCTATGGAATTTTAAATTCGTATGCACTGCCATGCTAGAGGCTAAGAAAAAGCTTGCTTATCGTCGTCTCTCCATTTGCGTAGTTTTCAGATAACAATTTTCTATCAAAAACGGAGAAAAAAAACAAGATAGAAAAAAGTAGTCAAATATATTAATCAATGAACTTCTAAAGGAAGTTGTCCAATCAACTAAAAATGGGGTGCCATAAGAAGTGGGTTGCCAGCAAGCCTTAGCAATAAGTGGATACATCATGTCCACTGTGTAGTGCCCCAAAACCAAGGGACCAAGCACAAAAATCTTTCAGGTTAATGGTTTCAACTTACATTACACTCTGAAATTTGAGGCATATACCTCATTTTAATAATTGCTGCTTTAATTGAACCCAGTTGCTCCAACATACCTAACATTTAGCACCTAATTCTTTGGGAGGCTTCATCAGATCGAAGACAGAAGAATCCCATTAATGGGAATATGCCTCAAAAAGATCCGTAGCCAGAGTGAGTTTGTACGCACTAAACTGGTTCCAATTGAAATGTTATGTTGGTTCTTGTAAATTGTGATACACCGACACGTTATTTTTTTGAAAAAATGCGTGTCGGACACGTGTCGGACATCGACACGGCTCCGACACGTAATCAATATTTTAGGACACGTTGACTATGTGGACACGCGACTTTGACCGTGTCCGACACGGTCAAAGGATAAAAACGTAAATTTTTTGAATTTTTTAAAATATTAAAATCTGTGAACTAAGGAGAAGAAGCTCTGCACTTTCATCATCCATCATTAATCTCTCCAACGACACATCATTGTTCTTTCTGATTGACGATGAAGATGACGATGACGTTGTGGTACCGCTCCTCATACACCTTCGCCCTCTTCAAAACATCAAATAACGATGAGTCACATGGCACCACCATCATCAACCTCCAAACTGAACGAAGGAACAAAAGAAATGAAAGAAAGAAAACCACAAAACGAAGGAAGAAAACTAAGTCCGTATATTTTTTTATTAGCCTTATCCTCATCCACTGGATGTAAGAAACGCATGAAAATAAGAAAGTGATGTCAAATCAAAAGCAAGGCTCGAGGAAATGTAATCAAAAGGTCTACAAAGTAGCTGCACATACCTAATTATATGTACACCAGCCATTTAGTCCCAAAACATAATTTACAAACTATACAAACTAAATATCCGAAAAACAATGCCACATTGATTTTAAGTTTCAAGGGATAAAAATTTGTCTTTTGATTTATATTATAAAATTCAAATATTAAATTAATTATATGACTTATTATGAATTGCAACATGTATTAAATATAAATTATATTATATATATTAAAAATATTATTTAATATCAAAACGTGTCCTAACGTGTCAAAATCTAACATTTTTTAAAATTAACGTGTCGACGTGTCATGTCGTGTTGTGTCGCGTGTCGGTGTCGATGCATCATTGCTTGTAAATGGATGTTATGTTGGTTCTTGGTAAATGGGGGACTCCATAATAAAGGAGAATTATCATTAAAGGGTTTAGTGTTTGTCATTTTAAATGACATAAGTTATGTCATTTTAGGAGAGAGATAGACACAGAAAAACGGAAATCATGGGAGAGAGAAAGTGAGTGATTTTTTTAATTTAAAATTCAAATTTTCTGTGTCTGTATCTCTCTTAAAATGACATAATTTCTGTCATTTAAAATGACAAACACTTTTCTCATCATTAAATGGGTTAAATAACAAACTCATAATAATAAAAGTGGGCTTGTCGACACAACATCCGAACCATAAAGCATCAAATCTATTGGTCCTTCCTTATACTAGAGTCAAGCGGGTTAGGAGGAGCACATGACAGAAAAATTACC